CAAAATTTTACTGTTTTTGCTGTACTTTGGATCAAATAAATGCAGGCTTGGTGAGCAGAAGAGAATTCTTTAAAAAAACATTAAAAATCTTACTGTTCAAAAAAATTTACTAGTATAGTGTGTATAGTGTGTATATATATATATATGTGTGTGTGTGTGTGTGTGTGTGTGTGTGTGTGTGTGTGTTGTGTGTGTGTATATATATATATATATGTGTGTGTGTGTGTGTGTTTATAGATATATGTGGTGTATATGTCATCAGTTCAGTTTTATATAAAATGTCATTAGATTGTCTCATTTACTTTATGTGAATTATTACCGCATCCTCCATGGAAATTTTGAGGTGCACCATGGGTGTCAAATAAAATAACTAATGTGATGTTTCATCAGCTGTATGGCTTTTATAGTTGTTTAAATGTCTTTAAGCAGGACGGAATAATAGTTTAAAATATCTACAATGCCCTGAGTGTCACTATGCTGGTATTTTAATTTTTAACGATTTACACTAAAGCGTGAAAAAACGTCTTGCTGAAAAAGAAAACGCATATGTAACAGTATATTGGATCTGGACTTTGGTCTTAAAGGGGAAGCTGTCCAATATTCGTCCTGTCTGCCATTCATATTAATCAAACAACCTCACTGCTCTTGACTAAATCACTTTTGTAGATTTAATAATGATAATTTATGTGTATTTATAGATATATGTGTGTGTGTGTGTGTATGTGTGTGTGTTTGTATATATGTGTGTGTGTGTGTGTGTGTGTATATGTGTTTGTGTTAGTGTATATATGTGTTTGTGTGTGTATATGTGTGTGTGTTAGTGTATGTATGTGTTTGTTTGTATATGTGTGTGTATATATATATGTGTGTGTGTGTGTATATGTGTGTATATATGTGTGTGTGTATATGTGTGTGTATATATGTGTGTGTGTATATATATGTGTGTGTGTGTGTTAATTGGAATGCAAATGGATGTAGAAATACAATAATTTATGATAGATATATAGATCATGAACAAAGATAAATTACATAATGTGAGAATTAGAAGAATTTTAAAAAAATTCATTTACTGATTTGTTTTTGGGCAGATCTGCTCCTACTGCACAGCAATCACAATAACATCTTCAGTGAAGCTCCACCTAAAACACATCACCAATAAATGCTGGACATTGAAGATGAGCATCAAAGCATCAGGAAGAAGTGAATCTGTAGAGACAGAGTTTATTGAAGGACAGAGAGAACATGAAAGATCCAGAACCCTGTAGAATGAAACTCACTGAAGAACAAACAGCTCGGTGTTTATTCTTGATTCTTCATTAAATGATGCAGGCAGTTCATCAGATTTAGTTGTTGTAGTTAGAAAAATCAAAAGAGCTTTGAATTTTGAGAAACCGTTCACTTGCTCTCAATGCGGGAAGAGTTTCCGGTGTAAAAGGAACCTTATGGATCACATAAGAGTTCATACCGGAGAAAAACCGTTCACGTGCGACCAATGCGGCAAGAGTTTCGCATACAAAACAGGTCTGAACAGACACATAAGGATTCATACCGGAGAGAAACCGTTCTTGTGTCCTCAATGCGGAAGAGGTTTTGCACTCTCAGGAGCCATTAGGAGGCACATCAAAATCCACAGCGGAGAAAAGCCGCACACGTGCGATCACTGCGGAAAGAGTTTCACATATAAAGAAAACTTTAAGGAACACATGAGGATCCACACCGGAGAGAGACCATACGTTCAGTGTGAAAAGAGCTTCACACACAGCAGCAGTCTGAAAGAACATCTTCACACTCACTCTGCTGTCAGGCCGTTTCACTGCGACCAGTGCGGTAAAACGTTTCTTTCGTCATCCATATTGAAGAGACACTTGCAAGTTCACGTGCAGGAGAAACCATACTTGTGTTCTCTGTGTGGAAAGAGTTTCGCACGACTGGATGGTTTTAAAGAGCATCAGAAGATACACACCGGTGTCAGAACTCATGTGTGCTTCGAGTGCGGGAATGGATTTATATCAGCCGCACACTTGAACGTGCACCAGCGGATTCCCACTGGAGAGAAACCATACAAGTGTTCACGCTGCGACAAGAGATTCTCTCGCTCAGGAACCCTGAAAGCGCATGAGAGGATTCACACCGGAGAGCAGAGGCGGACAAAGTACTCAACTTCATTACTTGAGTGAAAG